ATCTGAGTCCCCGGCCAGGACCGCCATCACCACTGGGGGGGAGAGAAGGGGGGAGACACTGACTGACGCTGGGGGGAGGGGGCTAGGAACGTGTCTCTGACTGACACGGGGGGAGGGGTACACCCGGGGTCACGTAAAAATTTCCTTGGGTGAAAAGGTCTGTAATCTGAAGATACCCATCGGATGGACTTCCTCCGACACAATGTGTATTTACCTCCTGGTGTCACCATTCTCGCAGAGCTCAACGTCTGAGCAATGTAACATTATCATTGCTTGCTGGAAGCAATGCATGATGGGAGATGTAGTGTTGAGAAATGGAGATTGCATCACATCAGGAAGCAGGGACAGAGACGCAAAGCACGCTGGGAATCCAGGAAGTTGATGGGCAGATGGAAGGCAGTGCTCGCTACATAAAAGGCAGTGGCGTCACAAGGGGGGTGCGGCCCGCACCCGGGTGACACCATTGGAGGGGTGACACCAAAATGACTGACAGTCATGGGCTCGACCTCTCTGAAAAGTTGAGCCCAACAGTGTCAGGAGAGAGGAGGGGACCCGACGGCATACATCATCCCGCCGGGTGAACGTCCCCTTTTCTCTCCTCAAAGATGGCCGCCGGCAGGTGTCAATTAGACGGCTGCACATGCGCGATGACATCACGGTGGGGTGACACCCGGCCTCGGGATGCCCCTGTAAAAGGGATTTTTTTTTTGATTGTATTATCAGTCATAACTCTACTATGTATTCCTATTACTATGCTGATGTCATAACAGGAGAGGAGATGCCGGGACTTTACAACCCCTTAGTGGGGGGGTTCCCAGTACATTCCGGGGGCCACATTTTCATATAGGACGGCCTTAGAAGCAGAATTCTGGTTCGGAGTTAACTTCACCTTTCTCTCAGGGCTCAGTCACACCAGCCCGCTCACACGGGGACTGCTTTTGGGGGGGTTCCCATGGCAGGAATGCAAGGTGTCCCTGTTCAGATGCAGCCGCTGTATCTATGCCCATCACTTCCAACAACTTCCTGGATTCCCAGCATGCTTTGCACCTTTCCCTGCTGCTTGATGTGATGTAATCCATCATCAAGACTACATGTCCCATCATCCGGCTCGTGACATTGACATGCACATCCGTATAGTGCGCACACCCGTGCAGAGACCTGCTCCTAAGGTGCTGCGTGTAATTGCGTGCAGTCGACTGTGCTAGGACGCGGCTGCACACCAACCTGAACCTGCCCGTCCATGTGGTCCATGCAGTCCATTAAAGGAGAACTATGAGGTGAGTGCTTTTCACTCACCTCATAGTTCTAGCAAGGATCCGCTTCAGCGTCTCAGTATATAGGGAGCTGTAGCTCGCGGTATACTGAGCCTAGGGTGACTCTAGTTTGTGTCCTCCTGTTACCCTAAGGAGAACTATGGGGAAAAGCCCTGACCTCATAGTTCTCCTTTAAATAGAACACATCTGCAATTCCGGCTGATGAAGAATGAGACGACACATCAGCAGAAGCCCGGCCGAGGAGCGGGTACCTCACACTGCAACTGTTGTGCAACTACAAGTCCCATGAGGCATTGCAAGAATGACAGGGTACAAGCCTGATGGGATTTGTAGTGTCCCCACACCTGCCTAGGTTGCCCACCCCTGGACCCAGCACGTTTCTCTTTTTGAATCGGTTCGGTGATTTTTAGGGAGAATTCGGCTTTATTGACAAAAACTAAAACCGCTCCGACGTCAACACATTCCAATCATCATCATCGCCGGCGTGTCGCTGAGACGAATCCTTCGGACAAAGTGACGACGAAAACTTTATTATAATAAATCATTTTATTTCATCGGGTTTTATTCAATAATTAAACGTTTCTCCTGCAAAGCGAGCGAGGCGACTACAACTCCCATCATTTGTACAGGAAGGAGACACGGGGGGGGAAGTTTTATTTTCTCCACAAACAATACAAAATAAGTTTCATTGTAAAACGGGGGAACTCAACTTCTGTGATCTCCATGAGCGGTATTTAATAGCTGGAAATCTTACCCCGACATGACACACAAACTATATTTTAGATCCCCTTTAAGGGAGTTTAAGCATTGCATTAGGTGCTGTACCTTACGCGTGTCATTCATTTAATTTCTGATCATCCGCAGCCACGTGCTATAGCTGCCATTGTATCAGATGAACATTATTGGTGGGACTGAAGCCAAGCAGTCCTCTGGTAACCTCAGTGACACGTGAAAAAAAAATTTGCCAATAAAATGGCCGCCCCAACGCTCACTCCGGCTGCCAGAGTGCGTACGTTCTGTGGAGAAAATAGAGAAGATGGCGTCACGTATTGTAATATGCGACTTTAGGATGCGATAGGCGGAATGGTGGCCAATGACGCAACTATCGCCTCTTTAGAATAAACGATTTGCTTTTAATGGCCTTGAAAGCGGCAGATTTGGATAACATTAACTTTGATGGCGGTAAAGTCCTGTATTCCAGGAGGCGACCACAGGAGGGCGCTGCGGTTCCGTATGTCAGGGGTGGTGGTAATAATAAGTATGTGCACATTGTCCTCTCCAATAAAAATCAGCCTGAGGGGTCTGGTACAAAGAAATGTATCATCACTGCTCGTTCTGCTGTCCGTCTGTCACGGAAGACACTGCTCCTTGTCCCTTGTTCACATCGCTGATACAAGCCCACTGGCCGTCCACGGACTCCTTCCACAGCGTCACCTGAAAATCAAAGCGGGTCACCTCGGTCAATGCAAAAATAAAATCCAAGATGGAAGACAAACAGACCCCATCTCCGAGAACCCCCCAGAATTTGCCCGCTTGCATGAACATTTGTCACCATCTTTGAGTGTTTCGGGCACTCCAGGTGCCAGGATCGGGTTACCCACCTTGTTATCCCCCCCGGACACAGCCAGGATGTTGGCGGTGATGGACCAGCTCACGTGCCACAC